TCTGAGCTCTGCCTGGATCCTTCCCTTCTCCAGGGGAACATTCCCGGGGCTCTGAGCTCTGCCTGGATCCTTCCCTTCTCCAGGGGAACATTCCCAGCTCTCCCAGCCTGGCTCCAGAGTCAGTGGGATTCTGTGGGAATGGGATTCCTCAGCAGGACCCCAGAAATTCCCGTTGCTGTATCCAAGCAGGAGTGACTCCCCTTTCATCCCTGCCCTGGCACTGGCAGATTCGTTCCAGCTGATCCTTGGGACCTCACACACACCGATTCCATCTTCATCCCATTCCATCCCGAGGTTTCTGTCAGGGAATGTCCCTGCATTTCCTGTTGGAAATGGCCAAGCTGGAGATGTTAATCAGAGCCAGCTCTAATTAGGAGCTATTGATAGACCTTAAACCCAGCTTAGCTCTCCAGGGAAATGCCTCATTCCATTCCCAAGGATTTTCTCCAGCGAGGGAAGAAATCCATCCTCAATCTTTTCAGGATGAGTGAGGCTGCAAGTGCCGTTCCATGGGTTGCTGGAGCATCCTGATTGGATTTTCTCCTGGAGATTGCAGCTGGAATTGGCTCCTGGCCGTGCTCCAGTGCTTGGGAACATCCAGGGCTGAGCAGAAACATTGGGATTTCTGGAACAGCTGCCAGGGTTCAACATGGAGCTGGAATTTTGTTGGGATTCTCCAGAAAAACCCCAAAACATCATCGGGAAGTGATGCTGGATGGGGAAAAGGGCTTGGGATGGAGCAGTGGATATGTGGGAAAACTCCATTTAATTGGGAACATCCTTCCCTCAGATCCATGTTTCAGGGCAGGAATTCTTGCTTGGATTTTGAGGTGACACCAAAATTTGTTATTACTGAAATTCAGCCCTCACGAGGAGAAAAAATTGGTTTATTTTGGGACAGCCGCACCTGATCCTGCAGCAGGACCTGTTGGATTTGGGGTTTTTCCAGCTCTAAGTCGTGGTGGATGAAAAATTCCTTCCTCAGAGGGTGAGGAGATCCTGGCACAGCTTTCCCAGGGAAGATTTCCCTTGTGGAAGCACGGTCCTTGCTCTCCTCCCAGGTTTTCCACGTGGGCTGCAGCTGCCTTTGCAGCAGCCCACTGCATCGGGAGATAGAATTGGGCAAGAGAAGCTGCCAGCTCCTTAATTAGTGTGAAAATCATGGAAAACAGATTTTCCTCCCTGGCAGCCTCGGAGGGGCCCCCAAGACATCCCTGGATGGAGGAGAAAGCAGATTTTATTGAAGGAAAATTGTTTCAAAGGGGATTTTTAAATTTCCTTTACTCCTGGTTTCAAGGGGCTTGGAGTTGCAGGAAATGCTGGAGCAGTTTGGAGAAAAGCCCAGATAAAGTCAGGGTGATTTTTGCAGGGATTTTTTTTCCAAGGGTGAATTTTCAGGCTGCCTTGGAAGGGCTCTCACCTCCTTCCCACGATACCTTCTCCCAGAGAATCTGCAGGAAATCCGGAATCCCACATTTCCCACAGACCTCTGGAAAGGAGGATTGTGGGAGGGGCATTTGAAGGCTTTGATGGATTAACTTTGGAAAATCCATGGCTTTAAAGGCTGTGCAGGTGCCCCACATTCCCGGTTTTCCCAGAAATACCCTAAATAATGGAATGGTGCTTGGCTGAACTGGCAGGCTTTGGTGCTGGAGTGGGAATTTTGGGAAAGCAGGCAGGATTGGAACGTTCCTGGCGGATCAGCTCTGCCTTTCCTTGGCAGCTCATCCCAGGCCATTCCCCGTGTGCTCCAGACCTCCCTGCAGCCAAATCCAGCTGGGAATGGCTCCACCTGGAATTCCTGACTGAGCAGCTCGGGGCTGGAGTCTGAGCCGTGGGGCTGAGCTGGATCCTTGCTTGGAATGTC